AATTAGCATTATAAATACTATAGTTCTGATACATGCTAAAACAGTGCCATGAGGAAAAGCTGTGGTGGACAAACTGGTAACAGGAATTGTGTTGCCATATGATGTTTTATTTGCCGAAATCCATCTCTCCGTGATACAGTGTCACGGTTTAGCATTTGACTTGTTTTTGAGAATTTTGGATTAAATTGCTATCGGGAAAGCACGTACATCGTTCTCAAATGCATTGTTTGCACAGGTTTTGCATTTTACTATTTCATTTTCTATTAAATATGTCTGACAAAATTTGAATTACATTGCAAATTCAAATGTCTTAGCGATGTAATACAAATGAGGATATATGTGAACCATTTATGTCGGATTTAGACTACCATTGATTCTGCATGCTTGTCAAAGGTAATGCAAAATAATATTCAAAAATATAGCAATTGTGATTTTACTTCAACTTCAACTAATTGGTCGAGGATTTACTGCACGACTTGTCAAAGCATTTATGGACATTTTTTTTGTTTGGTTACGATATATTTCAGGTAGCATTTCTATAGTAAAGTAATTTCCTTGTAGTCTATTTTTAGTGGGCATATTTTAGTAATCTTGTACTAACTTTAAGATGTTTCTTAAACATTATAGATAACTTCAAGGTGCACCAGAATTTCTCAAAGTGAATTTTGCGAGTTGATTTATGCATATAGACTTCAAGCTATCTTTACTGCTTCCACAACGTTCAGTCGTCAAACTGAACATCAATTCCCAAGGCAACTTGTTAATATCTTCGAGTTTTCGTCTCTTCTATTTGTTGGCAGTGTTCATGTGATATTTAATCCACAGCCACGTCAACAACTCAGCACTGGATGTAAATCACTAATAAGCATTTGATCAATATCGCCCAATCATATATAAGTGGGCTCACCTGAACGCGTGCTTTATTTGTTCGAAAAATGGGACAATTTAAGCACTCTGCACGACCTTCTGTGATGTTCTGTCCTAAGAAAGTAAAGTTTGTGTAAGGCACGATATTTATTATCGGCTCCCCGTATTTGTGTTTTGGTTCTGCGCAAATGATTTACCACAAACAAAGTGTCTGAAACGGGACAAATCTCCGGTTTTATCACTTCACTTACAGCCCTATCTCGTTAAAACAAACCGACTCTTCAATGACCTTAAAAACAATTAATTTTAAAGCGTACCTGTGTACTTATTTTTGCGAAATCGGCTTTGGCCAATTTCAAACCCTTACGTCAAACCATAAACCAAACAGATATACCAGCTGCTCGAACTCAGACGTTGGACATGAATTCACTCCGAGTCAATTGGTGCACTGAGGCTGCAACGCCTGGATAGTACACGGAGGTGATTAAAAAATTCAGGACGATGACGTTTCTACTCTTTCTAATACAGAATGCACTTATTTCAGGTTAAATAAATGGAGCCACTTGCATTTGCGGAAAGTGGGGTTTAGGGCAAGTACTGAATAAAGGTGTTAAAAGAGGGATAGCATACACTAAAAAATTAACTCACTAATCTCAAAACTAGCGTATGTGAACCTCTGAAATTCTAACTCACTGTCTTTGTAAACAAAAAATAAGACAGAATTCCTTGCTGAATTTATATGCTAATAATTATGATGACATCATTTTTAACCAAAGACAGCCTGTTAAAATGACCACAAATACTGCCTTTTTACTTACGAATCAATGCATTTTGTTTAATAACTAATAAATGGCAAATCACAAAGCTTGATTATATCACCAGAAACTACTTTTGTGTTCATGCCATCACAAAAACATCCCCTCGCTCCAGTTGCATTACAAAATACTGAATCCATTACATCTTGACTGCATTACAAAAGTAATTTAATTAAAAGGAAAAATGGTTAGTCAACTGCCGGGTTCGATTGTACTGTGGTTCATTATCCGTAATGTTGCAGTAAAGACAGTAATTGTCAAGAATTCTAGAAATGTAGATAAGTAAATATGGAGATTAAAAATATCAAAATCAATCGACTTAATTTTCGAAAGTTAATTGTTTTGGAAATAAAATTACAGGCATTAGTTGATTCCAGTCTGCACTTAAATGTCCTTAGCTAGTTTAAACCCACCAGTAGTGAATTTCCCCCGCTAGTTATACATATAAATTGATGCTTCGAAAACTCGTAGTCGGTGCAGCTAGTGGATTTACGTCAGAGAACTTGGAATGGAAGAAGCTCAAGGTTAGCTAAAATTGACAAATTATTTTGTCGTAGACATTGAAGTTCCCTCAGATGATGATCCTGATGTTTTTGATCCTGCATGCGATCCTTCAAAACCGATTGTCGTTGACTATAAGCTTGTCCTAGAAGCAAGGGAAAGAATTAAGGATGTTGTAAAGCCAACACGATGTGAGGTAGGATATTCGTCTCATAGTTTTTGACAATCGTAGCGTTCGCGTTTATCGGATGAACTTGGAATGGACATATACTTCAAAAGGGAATTTGAACATCCTACCTATAGTTTTAAGGAACGAGGTGCCTGCAATGTCCTCCTAGCATTTACTCCGGTAAGTTGTCTAAAGTTTCTTGGTAACACACAATTAACGTTCTGGCTTTTTGTGAGTCCCTATTTCTACATACAGGAGCAACGTGTGAAAGGTGCTGTGTCTGCCAGCAGTGGAAATCACGCTTCCGCTATGGCATACCATGCAAAAAGGTTAGGAATACCATGCACAGTTTGTATGCCCGTGTCTGCTCCATTGCCTAAAATTCAAAACTGTCGCAAACATGGGGCGAATATAGTTTTAAAGGGGAAAAATATCTCAGAAGTAAGTAAAGATTTCTGTTGTAAATCCCTATAGGTATAAGTCGATTACCTAATGGATTTTTAAAATTATATTGTAGGCTCGGAAAGTAGCTCTTAAGCTTGCTAACCGGCGGGGAATGACTTACATTAACGGTTATGATCATCCTCATATTTTGGCTGGCCAAGGAGTAATTGGATTGGAAATTCTTGAACAAGTTCCTGACGTTGACGCAGTTGTCCTCACAGTTGGTGGTGGTGGTCTACTGTCTGGTGTATCTTGTGCTATTAAGCACAACAGACCACAAACCAAAATATATGTAAGTTTTTTTTATCAAAACAAGCCGAACTCATGGAAAGAAAATGCAATGTTTTGAAATTCATTGTAGGCTGTGGAATCTGTACGCTGTGCTTCCTGGATTAGCGCAATGAGTGCGGGAAAACCAGTGTTCACAGTCTGCGATCATACTCTGGCTGATGGTCAGTGCCAACTGTAAATACTTATGTTGTATTTAGGTCTATTCGTGCCGACAGTCGGCTATAATTCATTTGCAACAGCCTCACCATTAGTTGATAAGTGTGTAGCAGTTGAGGAAAGTTTTATTTGCCGCGCGATTCTTAAGTTAATTGAAGCTGAAAAGGCTGTGGTCGAAGGTGCAGGAGCAACTGGTTTAGCAGCTATTTTGGCTGGGCAACTTCCAGAACTAAAAGGCAAAAAGTGAGTTATTCTCATCATCGTTTGCTTTCTAACTTTGCGCGTTAATAAGTTTTAATCTTGTAGGGTTGTTTGCATTCTCTGCGGCGGAAACATCGATCCCTTCGTACTGGCTCGTGTAATTGATAGAGGGCTTGCACTGGAGAAGCGACTTATTCATTTTAGTGTAAATTGCTCAGACACAGTCGGAGGACTAGCTGAGTTAACCAGACTGATCGCCAAAAGTGGCGTCAAGTAGGTGTCTTTAAACAGATATTGTTGGCGGTTGCAGAACTCTGGAAATTGATCTGGCTTTCGATTTTTAGTGTCCGTGATGTCAACCATGAAAGGGCCTGGGTGAAGGATGATATTTATGAAGTTCGACTGGATGTTACTTGTGAAACTCAAGGAGAGGAACACACCAATGCATTCTTCAGGGCTCTGGATGACACCTTTCCTCGTTTAATGTGGAAGCAGTACTAAAAACTGTTGTACTCCGCACATCACCTAGAATGTGATTTGTTAATAATACTATGTTTTTGATCAAAATGCAAGACAAAATTAGTTTTTTTTCTTTAAAGGGTCTAACGGTGAACTTTTGGGAGCCTTGCTAGTGTACACTTGTATTTCTCTGGAAAGAAAAGCATTTTGGTTAAAAATATAGGTTAAAGTGGTTGAATAAAGCATTTCAAGTTTGAATAAACGTAGCCATGTTTCCCGCAAGGCTACCCTTGATGGCATTTATTATATAGCACAAAACAGGTAACGTGTAAGGTCAAATATAAGTTGGTTTAATTAAAAGTCAACAACAAGACACCAGGATTGGAAACAAAATATGTAATCCAGCCAGTAGTCAACCAGAGCTGTCATTTTGAGTCGGAGTTTCAAGTCTAAAATGGACCTGTAGATAGACGGCCTTGATCTTTCAAACTTTTGACTAAAGAAATTTGCTCAAAGGCTACCGGATAACACATTTTTGAGACCCTCCATTTCGGTTTGGCTTGACGCAACGATTTAAAATGGATGGATGATTAAAATGAAGTCTTTTCTATGATATAAGCTTCATCTATTTGTTTTATCGCAAATGTAATTTTAAGCTGTTATTTTATTTCACCGCAGTTAAAAAGCCTTGTTATTTTGTGCTTCTGTCCTTGACAAAACCGCTAAAGGTTCTCAAGTCATCACACGGGGACGGTGGCGTCAATCGGTTCACATTTAATTTGTCAACATTTCTTGGTGTCCTTGAAAAGTATGTAACTGGCTGCATTCTGTGACATTTATTCTCTTTTAGTGCATACGTATTTTAGGGCTAGAGTGTTTCTTATTTGTTTATTCGTTTTGTCGAGGTGACTCGATAAATAAAATTCAATCCTTGGACCCAGATACTGAGCCGGTTTACTCGTGTTGACATCAGTAGCATTTATTTTATGCCACGCCGCTGACCACAGGTTCTTGGCAATATTTCTGCTGAAAGTCTATCTAGATATTAAAGCAGCCCTGGTTTTCATCATTAGCTTTCCGTACTAGGGCATATACTTTGCATAATTAAAATTGTTGTTGGGAGAATAATTTGTGAGAGCCTACAGAAAAGAGTAAAATATCCAAGAATGGTGTTATGTAAAAATTGGAATTTAGAATTTATAAGGTCTGAGAAAAATGAAAATGCATTGTCTAGTTGACGTAGAAATTCGAGAAGCGTCATTCGAGTAACAGGGAACCAACCTTTGTCACATGTTCATGATTCTGAACCCCCGTGTCCTTAGATGAATCGCTGAAATACTGCTATGCTACATCATTAAGAAACTCACAAGTAAGCTCTAACTGATTTAACAATTTAAGTTACCTGTTTGACAATCGCCAAGGTGGGCTTCTTAAAGTACTGGGACTGAGCAACGCAGACAGTTTATACTAATTGTTTACGGATTCCTTCAGCTCCGGTTAAAATGCTTAAAATTGTCTTGTGAACGTGGAATGCATTATTGTTTATCAAAAAACGTATCCATTCGGACTGCTGTGTCCCTTCGCGTTCTGACAAAGTAGGCTGGGTGGTCTTACGCAGGTACAGTGGCTGAGAGCCTGAAAATATTTCTAAAGGCAATCAAGTTAGACAAAGTAACTGACCTCTTTAACTGCTTTTTCCCCATGTTTTGTGTGGTGTGAACAAATATTTTTTTTTTTTAATTTGAACAACAGGGTGATTATTTCACCAACATCGAGGTGAATTTTAAACATTTACCTCGGTTTGTTAAAGCTAAATAAATCTACCAAAATGGAAAAAGACGTCTAAAAATTCTAGTATTAGGTAACATTCCTAATGATTGTGTCACTCGAGTCCATTATTGTCTGGAAATATGGGATTCCGTGAATGTGTAAGCGTAGGAACTAGTTCTTCGAAACGCACCTTCTGAATTGCTTAAATATCGCATTTATTTCAAGGCGAATGATCGCTTTACGGAAATTTTAGCGAGTTATGTGGAAAGAAGAGCCACCAACCTTGAGTCGTGCTCCTTGGCTGTATGTAAGGCGAGTTTTCCATTTTATGCAGGATGTCAGAACTAACCCGGCAGCCGAAACATGCTTGGTCCAGATGATAATAGTTAGTAATTCTCAGACTACCTTTAAATAGGTCAACCTCAGATTAGCAGTTGACATGGGAACCGCTGTGTATTTCGGGGTATTTTGAAGGACATGGTACCACACAAGTCGATGCAAGTCTTCGTTAGTTTTTTGAAATGAGTTGCTAAATAATCCTCGGTTCCTCAGCGTGAACATTATATAAAAGTAAAGGTCCCTAGGATCAGGTGAACAAGGAGGATGCTCCACAGAAGTGGGAAGGACTGTCAAGCTTGTGCTGCTGCTAACACTACAACACATATAAATTCAGCCATGAAAAATATCAATTCAGTGCAAAGTTTGTCTTGTAAACAGATAGCAAAAACAACTTTACGTATCAATCAACTTTTGAATTTACAAATAAACTCTGGTCTTTCGGATTTTTAGAGGTCTTTGCATAACCTTGTTGGTTCGAAGCTGCGAATGTGATTTCCTATCATGTACCTTTCAAATGTTCGATCGACGGAGCACCGCATTCTTACTGTCGGTTAATCAAACCTTGTTTAAAGGGAATGCCCGTCCTTCTATCTGATGTTAGTCTGCAATTATTCATGTCTGCCAATTGTGGAGCACCATTTTCAGTCGAAAGAGCAACATATAACCACAATCTTCATGGACCAAGTTAGTCGATTTGTACTGGTAAGATGTGTGAATATTAAATGCATTGGCCAAGCCCAGTCGATAACCCACAGTTTATCGTTTGATAGTCGAATTAGCTGCTAGAATTGACATTTAAAAACTGGTATTTAAAGAACGAATACAGGGGCTCCTCTGTAACCACTAGCCACCTTTTGTGAATCGCTACTAAAATATGGTGTTTAAAACATTTTTCAATAACTGCAAGTGTTAAAAAGACCATTTGTTAGAGAAATCTTTTGAGTAAAAATTAGTATTCCATACACTTTTTGTGCTTGACTTTGAAACGCCGAAGTTATTTTTTTCGCCGAATTTTCGCAAACTTTTCGGTGGGGCCGATGATGAAATCGTGCACCCTGCAGGGTACGCACATAAATGCGACTCCGGTCCGTCTTGGAGATCAGCCAGATTAGGGGCGGATTAGGCATCGCAGTAGTAAATATGTCGTGATTGTTGGTGTTATTACCTGTGGGTGTAAGCGGCAGGCGTAAATTCGCTTGCACAAAGTTGGGGTGGCATTTGTCTCAGCCTAGTCTGTGTCCTTCGTTTTTAGATGTAGTGTCGGAATTTACACTACCCACCTCTGGGTGTGGTTGAAGTTTTAGCGATTTCGAAGTGACATTATGTCATTGAATAAACTTACCATAACAATGTGTCATAAAGACGAATTTTGTCTTGACTTCGTTATCTTGACAGCTAATTAGTTGTAATTAATCAGTATATTAGACAAGTAACTAAAGCTGTCTGGTAATGCATTCTTGTGGTTGTCCGGTTACAAAATCGTAAAGTACTCTGTGTCATTGCAAGGATAAAAATACCTTGTTGAATGCAGTAAACATCAACAAACTCTGCAGCTTGATTTAAAAACGTGACCGAGATGTTTAGGGCAGTAGCGCGCCATGCTTACATTAGTGTTCGCGTGGCTACCGAGATTATCAATTGTGAACGAGGGTCTTGCCCTAAAAAATTGCTACAATAACCGATTGGTTGGTGAAGCCTGCGTGACCAAATCAGCCAGGTAATTTGAATCTTTGCGCTCATCTTCACCACCTTGATGACCAGGGATTGAGTTTCGGGGGCTGCAAAACATTAAAACAATTTCCCATCAGTTCTAAGTGGCCTTAAAAGCTGCCAAATTTGTGAAAATAGCATGCTTGATCGGTATAATTATTATAGCTTGGATAAAATGGTGTGTGTAGAACGTAGAAGCAGGGCATGTTAATCATGTGGTATGGTACGGAAAGACAGAACGCGCTTAAGAAGGAGGCAAATAAACCTGCGTATGATCGCGCCTATAGACAAGGCAGTTTTAAACATATTAACTTGCTTTATGCATTAGAGAATAGATCAGTCTAAAAATTTGCTTATTACTGTTGCATTCGTATTCGCTGGCTGAATGTCGATTCACTAAAACAAAGATATGTAGTCTTTAATTGCCTAGACAATAAAGACAACTTAGATCGCCAATCATTAGACTAGGTTAGGGGTCTGAGAATGGACTAAACTGCGACAAGGCGCATCTTGGTGGTAAAATGAGGCATTTCCAGAAGATTTTACTGCCACTATCTATTAATTTAGCTTATTATTCTTTACCGTAATCTCATTAAATGCCGCATTGCTTAGCTTATTATGCACTAATTAAACTATAGTCTAGTCAGGTTTTAGTACACTAGGCAACAACACCTTGATAGCGTTCGAGACACCATGCAGAGAATTACACAGAAACGTAAACCACTAACCGGTCTGGATTGCACAGTAGGTTTGCGTACCACTTGTTTCATTGTAACCTTAAAAGTATCTTTTTTTAATGCTGAAGTAATAAAAAACAAAAAGCTTGAAGGTTAGCCAGGCATAATCGGGCTCCGAGCTTTCTTCCTCCGAAAATGGTACATTAGACACAAGTATTGGTATAATTTGATGATTGCAAAACTACTTGCAAAGGCCCCTTCCCCGGCCTCTATTTAGAATCATGACATCCTCTTGCCACCTCTTCCTAGCAACTTTTTCTCTGCCAAATCATTCAGAAGCAAATTCATTCCATCGGTATTCAGATTTTACTGGTTGACGCGTAGTTTTTCTTGGGTCCTCACACGCCCAGTTATTTTCCAAAACATGGCAGATGTGATGTTTCATTGTCGAATTTTTCATTATCAAAAACCGTGCTAAATTGCAGAATCAACTGCCTCCAAATGTCCGGACTAATTTCGATTCTATTTCTGTTTGATGAAACAATT